AACGCTGATTGATAAAATGTTTCCCGAGCCTTTCTTGTCCTCTGAGAGAAATTTTCAGTATCACCACAAACAGCCCCCCCATTCCTGAAATGAGATCTTTTCTTCGGGTCTCCTTGCAGCTTGATAACTGGCTTTCTGCGGCGTTCGGACTTCCTTGGTATTCAGTGTCTATGAGTGTCTGTTGGGGTTCCTGTCACTGGAGTATCTATAATTACCTATAGCGGAAGCCTCAATCGACTATCTACAGTGTTTAGAGTGCTTTTTTCGCTGTGTAATTGATTAATGTGTCTAATCCACGTTCCGAAAGTCTCTCAGACTTTGTATAGAACATTTACCGTTCTCTTTAAAACGACATCAGATTCTCAACGATTTTTACAATGTATGACTTGACGAGCACTTTATCACGACGTTAAAACTCTGGATATTCTGATTTTGTCTGAGTCCAACCACTGATTTAAGTGGCAACGTGGCGTCGAATGTAGTTCAAATGCTTTTCTCGAACATCGCTTCAGCAGGGGATTTTCCCTCTAGGACGATATTGTTAGGTGTAGTCCCATAAACCGTTAAAAATTTCGTAATTACCTGACTTATCATCTTGCATTCTTCCTTCAGTAGTGCTTTTTTTAATGTGTCCACGAAGCGCTTAGCCTGTCATTGTGATTGAAGGTGATAGGGTGCAGAGCGTATATGTACAATTCCACTAATGTTTCAGAAGTACTTGAATCATTCTGCAGTTAATTGTTAGCCATTATCGGTCACTAAAGTCTCCAGAACTCCAAAACAACTAAACAGTTCAGATAACTTGCTGATCGCTTCACCGGCTGTGCAATTTGCCATGGTACAGATTTGTGATCATTTTGTGAGTGCGTCCACTATGAAGAGAAGCATTTTTCCTCGTATTTTACCGGCGAAATCTGCGTGCAGCCACTCCCAGAAACTATTAGGTTTTTTCCATTAATGGGGTTCACACTTCTTTGGACTTTTAGCTGCTTGCAGGCAAGACGAACAATTGTGGCATCTGGTTTCGATATATTGATCCATTGTAGGCCAGTAAGCATATCTGTGTGCCAACGCTTTCATCTTATTGACGCCGGGATGGCCTCTGTCGAATTGTTTCAGAATCATGAGACGTAATGTTTTTGGAACAACAATTCTGTCACCAAACATAATATATGGATCGACCATTATGAGCGAGTATCGCCGGCGAAAATATTGTAACGCCTCTCCTTGTAAACGACGGTCTGACCACTTGGTGAGAAGATAACTACTAACTTCTTCAAATGTCTTGTCACTTTCCGTGACTTTTATGGCTTTGAAAGTAAGTGGCGAACCATCGACTGATTCCAAAATGTAGTAGATTGTACCAGAATAGGCTCTTGTGCGTGTTTATGATGAGCAGATTTTTGCACTTATCAGCAATAGGAATTTGTAAATAAGTTTCCGGTAAATCCAACTTGAAAGGGCTTACCACCATTCAGTTTAGCAAAAAGATCTTCAAGTGGAAGAAATTGATACTGATGAGTTTCTAGGGCTTCGTTTAGCCCGGTTGAGTAATTGGCACATAAACGGGTGCTACCATTATTCTTCTTTACTACTACTATAGGTTCAGATCATTCTGAAAAATTCACTGGTTCAATGACACCCAGATTATGAAGTCGTATTAGCTCTTGTTCAACCTATGGAAGAGCAGCATATGGTACAGGTCTCGACTTTGATCCTTGTCGAAGGGTAAGAACAGCTTCAAATTTAGTACATTCTCCAAAACCATCACTTAATACCATTTTATGTGGTTTCAATAATGTTTTCACTGAGTTTTTCTCCTGAACTTTCGACATACTGACGTTGTTACAGATCGAGCTTATGGGACGGTCTGTTAATTTCAACCTTTCTATCCAATCAAGCCACAATAAATCGAGTGATTGACGTTCTGTCAAAAGTAGTACTCCCTTTTCCGTCAACTCTTTGGCTGTGTTTTCACAGTGAATCTCACCAGAAATATTTAGAATTCTCCCCGATACACTGTGTGCTGATTGATAAGTTGAATATATTCTGGATCTCCCATTTTCCTTTCACGTTTTACTACCTATAAGTGTTATATCAAAGGTTGTGTCTGGCTGTAAGCGGGCATCATACCCCTTAATCTTGAAAGAAACATACTTTCTACGGTTATGAGTGCCGGTTCTGTTAACAGCTGCCGTCACTATGGCTGCACATGGCTTGAATCTTTTAGAATACACTCTAGTTTGAAGGCGTTTCCGGGTTTTGTGATGACTTTCTTTGTGTCCTTTTTTGGAACACTTAGTACAACGATAATTTTTAAACGGACAAAATGATTCGAAATGTCAACCGCCACATAACCAGCATGAGAATTATGGTTTGCCGCCGTCATTATGATAGTTCTACGTGCTGGAACCTTCTAAGACCTTTCTCTCGACAGCATTAACGTGGAAGAACTGGTTAGCGTTTTCTACCATCAAGTTATCATGCTTCAAATTCACTAACCTTTGACATTCAGTAGTTAATTCCTGAAGAGTCATGTTAGGGCAGTGTTCAAGTTTGCTTAGGATTCTGGTCCGGATGTCAGCATCCTCAGGTGAACACAGGTTACACACAAATGTTAGGTATTTAAACTGATCTTCAGTCATGGAAGACAACTTGAACCTATCACATTCTCGGTTCACAATTCCCGCATGTTTCACACAGTCATCTCCTGACTCTTTTGTTATCTTCAAGCAATGGAAACGGATAATAAATAGAGATGACTGTTCTCCAGAAGTTTGTGACAGGGTTTTCGATGTTTCACCAGAACTAAAAACTCGTAAGTTCTTGGCAGAATAAAGTTACTATAGTGTTTTTTTCTCTGTCACTGTGAGTTAATGATAACCATCACTGGCCAGTGGTTTTTCAGAACATCATACACATGTGGTTTCTATGAATACCTGTACTTGTTTGGTAACAGTGAAAGTAGTTCTCTTACTCAACGACATTCAGGTTGCAGGTTTTAATCCCGGTATTATGTAACTGGATTTTGAAGTCCCGCACAGCTGAGGAGAAGCACAGAATACCTTGTACATGTAAGAAACAATTAAACGATTTGAACTTCATAAATAACCTAGCCCTCATATCCCATACACAAACAAATGCTGGTCCATACAAACAGTGTAGCAGCAGCTTCTGCATCAAAAGGCCTCAACATACACAAAGAATAAAGCAAGATTCTCAAATACAACACGGAGAAAACCAATTCAATCACACTTAATGGTGAAACTGTGGAAGAGGTGGAAACATTCACGTACCTGGGAAGCATCATTAATAAACTAGGAGGATCTGATGCAGATGTAAAGGCGGGGATTGTTAAAACAAGGACCACATTTTTACAATTGAAGAATATATGGAACTGTCAACTAATTTCAAAGTGAGAATCTTCAATACGAATGTCAAGACAGTTCTACTGTATGGAGCTGAAACGTGGAGAACTACTACATCCATCGTCAAGAAGGTACAAGTATTTATAAACAGGTGTCTATGCAAAATACTCTTCATTCACTGGCCGGATACTATCAACAACAGCGTTTTGTTGGAGCAGATATGAAAAGGATGAATAGAAACTGGAAAGGAAGGCTCAGGACAGAGTTTGATGGAGAATGCTGGTGAGCGGCCTATGCTCCTCGATGAGGGGTAACAGGTGTAAGTGAATAATTATAATTAACAAATAAAAATGCAAATGACTGATAAGTTTTCTAATTGAACGCTCGCTTTGCCTCCTAATCTCTTCTAGTGAACCTCAGGCTAAATCGTAGCTATCCCTTCTAGGGATTATTTGAAAGATGCATATGGACCGTTGGATATTTGAATAACTACGAAGTTTACTTTGTGGTAGAATTAGTTTTTGACCAACCCTAGCTTTTCGGGTGGTAGGTGGCACGCCATTAAAAAATACAAGTGAATTTTTAGTCGTGATGCAGTGTGTAACATTACTAGATACACACAGCTGTTTCGGTCGTGTTTTGTGCATTTCAGGGTGCTTGTCGTGAATCCGTTTCAAATACATATCTATTACTTCTTTATACATGACTGGGGGTAACCTACAACCAGAAAATGAAATTGAGCGAAGAGACAACTTTAAATTTTTACTTAGTTGCCTCCGTTTGCTTGAGTCGATAAGTAGATTGCGGTGTTGTAGCCAATCTCTACCGATGATTGAAATATCTGCCACAACTGAAGTCCAATGAGTGGGTTCGTGTAAACCCACTTGAGATGAACACAACTCTCATCAAGTGTGGTCACAGATTTTTCATTTTTACCTGAACATTCAAGACAAGATTTTGTAAATGGTCGTTTTTATTCATGGGGGGGGGGTTAAGGGTTCAGGAAATTGCATGATTTCCTGCAATATCTAGTAGACTTACTGCATTTGTTGTGGTCCCAACACTAATCACGGTTATCTGTTTCTCGTGGTCTAGAAACAGAACTTATTTGTGACGGGCTTCTTTGGACAGTTTTATCTAAGTTAGCTAGTTATTGAGAGGGATGTGTAACACAGAATATTCAGTCGTTATCTAGTGTGAATATGTGTGTCCGATGAACCTAATGATATCAGCATGAATATCGAAGACATCCAGGACAATTTGTTCTAATGAGTTATTTACCACTAAAAAGTCACAAGCATACTTTAGGTAACTTAGATCTCAGTCCAGCTACTCAGACAAAGGTCTATAAAACCAAATGTTTAAATAATCTGTTAAACAACGTCGAAACTGAAATTGCTGAACGCTACTCAAAAAACAGGGAGACCACCATACTTTTTAAAGAATTCAAACTAGTTAAAAACCTCAATGTCCTTACGTTGAAGGTGTATGGATTGTTAGATGAGCTAGAAGAGAATATATCAGATTTCAGAATTTTTAAAGTATCCCACCTCTCCGTTTTTTCCTTATTTGAAGATAAATAATTTTATTTTCACTATTAAAAAATTTAGAAGAAAGCACTCAAGGTTATACGAAACGGTGGAGGATGTATATAGAATACATCTTATTTCATCTTGCATTATGGCATTGTACATTGTGTTGGTTTTAGTGGCAATTTGCATTTTGCGTTACATGGGTATGCATTGATGTTCGCAAAATGGTCCAACTGTCCTCATGGGTTGGTATTTGGGTAGGTGCTTCTGATATGCAGCTTTTTTTACTTCTTTTAATTTAGCATTCAATAATTTTTAAGTACGACGATGTGAGACATTCCATGTGAATGTTGAAGGTAGTGACATTGAAATTATCCTGGAGGTCTTAAAAGCTGGGAAGATATGCAGAAAATTTTTGGCAAACGGATTTATGGAAAAGTTTCATGCAATAAAATTAATCCCCACAACTCAGTTAATTAGTTATAGAGAGCTCGTGTAGGTTTGGGTTCGACCGTGAGACACACTTGGTTTGTATTCGGTGAGACCATAAATTATGGACGAAACAGTCAAATATAAGATAACAGGTATTAAATTTTAACGCGAAATCCACCCATTCATTTGGTTAAGTAGAGTTCTGGCATTATAGCTGGTGCCAGTTCTTGATGAAAACCGTAAATCTAATTTCTATCCTTGGTCATCGGCTGTGAATCATAATTACAATAGCTCATACAGGTTCATAACCCTCATTTGGTCCTGGTTATTAGGTGGGCACTCTCAAGGCCAGCATAGCGTCGTTCAAATGTCGTCCATAATTTATAGTTTCACCTTGTTTTCTCGTTGGTAAATAACAAAGAAATAACTTGTAGTAGGATTGATATTGCTGTTATATATTAAAATTCATTCTTTCACATGGGCAAACAGCATTCTGCGATGATAGCTAGTGTCTGTGCGTAGTGAAAACTCGTACCTTAATTCTCAATCATGTCACCTAACTTTAAATTATAATCCTGATTCTATACGCGTACTTATTTATTGCTTCTGAATTTCTTGAGTAGACAGTTTCTTGCACGATCACTAGCATCGCTCAAAGGTCGTCCATAAATTATGTTGTCACCAATAGATCCGATAGAGATCGGTCTTTTTAGCTACACCTTACTCTGTGAATTCTTGCTACCAGAAGTAGTTTTGTTTCTTGCACAGTAAGACCACAACTCCCATCGCTATCAGAGTAGTTAGGTATAATTGGTCTAGATTTCTGCGTCCTGTTGTTGTTCAATGCTGGTTTCTTTTATTTGAAATACTTTGCAAGACATAAACGTTTCCAATCCCGATATCCGAGGACTAATACTTACTAGTATACCAGTACCGAACAGATTTCTCGTACTCGTAGGCACGTTCTTCACGTTCCCTGTCTTCATTGCCTCCTGACTTCAAAACCAATTCCAGTTCTCTACTATGATATGATAGTGCTGACGTTTGAAGTTTCCGAAGTAGGATTCCAGACCTTATTGTACCAAACTGCAAACAGGAATAGGAAACTCCTAACATCCGGGTGCTATTTTAAGCCATGAGGCGACCCTTTCTTTCTATAGCCGTAAATGTTTCGAAGACGTGGGTATGTTGAGGTGAGACTAATTTGTGGACGACCTATGAACGACTCTGAAGTGACTGAGAATGTCCGTTTACTTACTAGAGATAAATGAGGACTATGAAGCAGTTTGAAGTGTAAGGATTATGATTTAAAATTGATGGTTAGGATTAGGAATTATATTTATGGTTTTCATCGCGAACTGACATCAGCTTAAATGCCAAAATGCCGTTTAGCCGAACGGATGAATGAATTTCGCGTCAAAATCCAACTCCTGTTATTCGAAATCTGATTGATTCGTCCTAGGAATTATAGTCTCGCCGTGTTTTTCTTGTTGGCCTGGACACGTGGGAATAGCTTCAAGTTGTAGATCAAAAGGTATTGGGTACGTGGTCGTGTCGATACAAAACACATCTTTTCATGGTAATAAGTCAATGGTGTCTTATCGACCTCATGTCAACTTGTCGATAACTGTCATGCTGTAAAAAGTCAGGGTGACAAGTTTTTTTATTGAGATACAAAATATAAAGATCGGTATAGATTACTTTGGGGTCAATAACATCAGTTCAGCAATAGTTGCAATACATATTAGTTAAGATTATACGCAATGATCGAGAGCACTAGTAGTTAATAGAACAAAATATAGCAAAGGTATTGATTTTAAAAATGGTCTAGTTATTTGAAATTATAAAACAAATTTTATCTAAAAAGTTGACATTGACGTCTAAGAAATCATTTTACTCTCATACGTTACTTTTTTGTGTTTAAGGTCGTTTTTGTCTTACATATAAGACGAAGCAACTCTGCTAAACCATTTTGGTAGACCAAGGTACCATGCTCACCGCCGGACTTATGTATCATGAATTTGATCCCATGTAAGGCTGTAGATATTCATTTCTTCGTAGCTCGAAAACCAGAAAAACAGCAGCTTTTCAGAATGCCCTGATTTTAATAGTCCCTCCATCAGTTCATGATAAAAAATAGGTTCCCTTTAAAATAAGCATTGATTTCCATAACCCTATCTAACTTTAATAATGTTTGTTTAGTTACTCTTTTTAAAATGAACTAATTTCTTAGTAGTTTTGTCTACAAATTATGATTCGGTTTTTTCATCATTTGATTTTTTATAGGATCAAGCTACTAACTTTATCAAGTATCATGATATTGGTATAAATCTTCATGAAAGATTATACAAATTTTTAATCGATTTCGCTAAGCTGCAAAAGGATGCATATATTGCACAAAAGTAAACTTGTCTATGTGTACCATATTAAGTTTTTGTTTTTTTCTTGTCCAGGCGATTATGTGAAAAATATTTGTCTGATGCTCAGAAGTGTTTTGGTGTCTCTAATAGTTATGTTTCATTTTTTAATGAACTTGTTCAAATTGTTCAGCACATCGTAGATGCTGAGAATTTAATTTCATGTTCCTTCGAAATACACGCTGGTAGCGAAGGTAAATCGATTATTGAAGATGAAAGAAGACAATTTAAACGATGGAAAAGTGAAAGGTTAGATGTATTAATTTTGTTGTTTTACTATTTCGTTTTATTTTGTAATCCATAATAATGACAATGTTAACAATAGTAATAATATAAAAATAAATTTCGTCACACTAATATTTATTGGAGAACCCGTAAAGAACATTGCGCGCTGAACAATTATTTTTCACCTGGAATGTCTCAGTAGATAATACTAATGTCCCTCTTAAACAGGATCAAGCTCAAAACCCCTAGTCTTCATGGTATCTGGAAAACAAATAGTTTACATTTTGACTTCAGTCGATTTCGAATGTAGTGTAATGATTGTTAGCAAAGTTTAAGATTAAATATTGGTTGAATATGGTTTTTATTTGGCTAACTTTCGTATTAATGCGGTGCAACTTTCATTGTATTAATTAATAGGCAAATAATTTAGCGTGACATCCGTTCATTTGATTTGTTATATTAAAGGAAATTTATGTTGTGATTCAGGAATAATATACTGAATAAATGTAACGATGAAATAAAACTAATGCCTTACTGAACAAAGCTACCTATTTGAAATGAATGTTGAATAATTTCTTTTTCCTAAAATGTCATTATATTTTATAAGTGATCAGAGAAAATCGATTTCACAGGTCACCCGTACTCCAATCAATTAAGACATTGCTCATCATATCAGTTTTCGTGTTAATTTAGTATAATTTGTTCAGTACGATGGCCATCTGTACTGAATCGGTGTAAAATTCTTTGCTAATCACTGCAATAAAGTCTATAAACATATAAATCCATTTGTATCATTTATTTATTTGAAATATAAGCGTTTGTACAAGTGGGCACAAAAATACTATACGCCACACCAGTGAGTGAAGTTGTGAAGACATGGACGAATGAGGGTAAATCTAATAAAGAATTAGCTATCTTGATAAAAAAAAAGTAGATGAAAGTAGTATACGATGATCTTTATCAACAAATCTTGTGGACAGATCTTCGATTCTGTCTGTAGTTAGTAGATGCGGAAGAATATAATAAGTAGTTCCCGTTCAGGATCATTAAAGTCAAAGTCGGTAAATGTTCGCTTAGCGCTCAGACGTATCAATGACCTTGTATAATCGATAACTTCAATCTGTTTAGTATACTTTGGTTCTCATTGACCCCAAGGCCCTAGTACAGCTGCGGGTGGGGATAGTCTGCTCTCCCTCGCGAAGTGCTCTCACATGGCCACGTATATACAGCAACTGCCAGAAAAGTCCTCACTGCCTTCTCGCCGCCGAGGTGTTGCTTACGAGACTGAGAGGACAAAAAGCGAATGTTCGGAGCTTTAACCGGGTTGATGAACCCGGAGGATCCACCTAGAGGAATTAGAAAACCCTGGTTCCAAACCAATGGTGTACATGCGCTCCAGGATCCTGAAGGGACAAATGACGTATGAACCTATTGTTGGTTACCGGCTACCGTGGGACTACATCTCTTTACGTCGCTCCACTGCCTTTTGGATTAGACCTTTAGGTCAAAGGCTCTGGGTGTAGCCCCCTAAGAAAACCACCTGTTTCTGTCTGGGCACCCGGGCAGTATCAGAGCCCTCACGCAAATCATATGAAATTTTGTGTGGCGCATATGTATTTGCGCCCCTTTGTACCAATATTTATGTGTTCAAATAAATAAATAAGACTCTTAGGGCAATGTTAGCCTGAGACACGATCTAACCACCACAAATCACTTAGACAACAATAGTATTCATAATAATTATGCGTTTCTTGTAGATCAAAATTATCAACTGAACTAAAATCTCAAACGCGTATTATTGATGATGAAATTAAGCGATATCGAGATAAATATCGTGATATGATCAAGGCTAAAGAAGACTATGAACGCATCAACGCTGATCAGAGTCATTCACAGTTCGATGTCGAAAAGGTTAGTAATGAACTTATTGCTTTTCATTGTTTTCAAGTTTATGTTTGATTTGAGTATGCCTATTTCCTACTTTGAGGATGGGATTTTCAAAAAAGTGATGTAAATCATGTTGATAAGATTATGTTTTAACTGAGACAAACAAAAAATATAATATAGACATTCATGCCTACGCTTCCTACATGATAGGAATTGACATCTAAAATACTGGTTATCCTTTATCTACAAATGGATTAATTGAATTGCACGAAACAGCTAGACTTCGCTTCTGTAAACTTTGGGTGATGTTTGAAAAACACTATCTTTGAACTTAGTAAAATGTATTGGAGACTATATTTCCAATTTGTTTATGTTCTCTTACTTTTTTTGTGACGACTTGAATTTATAATTTATTGCACAATTTCTAACATTGTTATGGTCAGTGAATAGCTTATTTTTTGATCCGCTGAACTAAATTCGTTTACCTATTATCTTGGTGAGGTTGTTGAGAACTAAGCGAAGCGATCAGGTAGTTCTTCAATATCTTCGGAACACCTAATAAACATATTGCTGACTGATGTAATTAGTTTTTATCGACTCATATGTCTTTCGAAAGGCTAAATTCAATGCACTTGTAATTTTGTTGCATTCTCAATAAGGTTAGGGGTAAATCTGTACGACTGTATGATAGCTCTTCATTGAATGTACTTGAGTTTGATACACTCATGTAACCATAGTCTACAGTTGTCCAACTGAATAATCAAGAGCACTATGTGAATGATTCAAATTTTACTGAAGGGATCATAGATTGGAAGTGAAGATTGTGCGGATGACACAACCGTTTTTGTAAATATTTTATTTAAGTTCAATAAAATGATAGCTAATAAAATGAATTGCCTGACCAAGTCTACTTTACGCCACCTACCCTTGAAAATTCTACACATATGGTTTTGCATATGTGTTGTTTTGTAATATGTTCATGCGTTTATGTGCTCTAGACAGTTTCTGGCTTGACGACATTTACGAGGGTAGTAGGGTCTGCCAAATGTCTCACAGGTTATTTCTATATGAAGTTGTCCGGTAATAACGGACTTGCTGTCATTGTTCCTTCCACAGTGTTGATGTTTACGTTTAACAATCTACTTAATTTCAATCATCACTGACTGTTGGACTAAGCGATGCAGATAAATACAAACTAACTGTTTGGAATCCGCGTAATCATCGTAACCAATGATTGGAGACTTTAAATGACATGGCTCAAGAGCAATCACTCTCTTTGCTTTACCTTAGATCCTAAATTTTTAAATTCCTTGTTTTTTTTGTCTATTATTTCGCTAACTTACGTTTTCTCGGATTGCATCCTAGATGTATAGTCTTTTCTAGTACTATTAATCCTGTTACTGCCTCTACTTTCTTGAGATTCGTTCTAACAATTTCATCTCGCTATGATAATGAGGTACGGCAAATTAAACCGACGTACGTATATGCCTGGTTCTACATTACGTTTAACTGACTATAAATTCAGGGGTTTATTTAAGTTTTTAATAGTATAAACTTTTAGTGGCTCTATATCTGACTCCAATTAGATCGCATGGATGATTGTCATCAAAATATACATGGCGCCAATTCTCATATATAATCATCGACTTAAATGGAGTTAGTGGATAACGGAAGTAAATAAGTCAAGTGAGAAAATGGATTTCAAGTACACATATTTCATACAACCATTAGTCTAGACAGACGATCGGAGAAGCGAAGAGAAGAGAGCGAGGCGGAACGACACGCGGTGGAGAAAGCATGTAAACCAACTCAATTCAATTAGGCGTTAACCGATGTTTATGGTCTCACAAAAATAAGTTACAGACGTATGATTAGTAATATTAGAAATGTACACACATGCGGTCATATAAAAGCGGTCAAGGTTGATGAGTGGATAATTGACAAGGTCAAGGTGTGATTTAAGAAGAATGAATAAATTGGTTTGTCCGGAAGCCAGAATAAGCCATGTAGGCTTAACATAAGCAACCAATACTACAAACCACAGGGATGTACTAAATTTATCCACTCTCTAATCTTGGGTTTTTCCATCACTTTTCCACCAACTCAGATATCCCTTTCAACTTGTCCTTAGGATTGAGTACATCTAGATTATTTGTCCGAATTGACTGAAAATTTTTAAACTGGGCGATGTACAATGTGATCGTTAGACAAAGTAAATTGTGTTCTATAGTTTGGAATCAAAATATAAAGTCCTTCAAACCCAGTCAATAAATATCGTAAATGAAGTATGCTAACTGATCTAGACCACTTTCGTACTGCGAAAATTTCTAACCATAGATGAGCCGTAGCTTTCAAACGTTGTATAGCGGCTTGAGCAGAACGTTGATTTATTGAGATAAATTCTTCTATACCTTTGTCCCATAAACAGCCCAAAAACGTAGCTATGCACAATTGACCTAAGATGACTAATCCATAAATAACCCTTTTAAATGCAAAAAAATAACTATTCTATATAGGTTATTAAATGAAATACATTTCGGTAACTAAGCCCAAACTTATGAACTAATGGTATTGACCAAATGAACCTCAAAGAAGTGAATTTAAACTCCTCTTTGAATTGGTACTTTGGTTCATAACGTACATGTGTGTATATATGATACCTCAGCGTATATCTTTCTTGATGGTAATAAACTCGAGTAGATTATTCATTATCAATTTTTCTTATTCTTATTTTCATTGTCTACATTTATTATTCGTTGGGAAATTTGGGTGTGATATATATATATATATATATATATATATATATATATATATATATATATTGGAGCAATTACGATATAAAAATAGAAAACATTGTGTAAGGTCAAGTAAATGTATGATTACTATCACCTCTATTAGTAGTAATATTATTATTATTATTATTATTTGTGTTGGTAAATAAATGGGTGTTCCAATTATGCACGAATCTATAATTATCCCACACCTCTTGATTTTCAATGAACATCGAATTCATGAAGAACACTGACTTATATTCTCTTTTATCTTGTTGGTCTGATTTTGTATACCTATTTCCACCAGTGTATTACATAATCATCTGTTCGTAAAAGCACACATCAATATGAATATGTATAAACGAATAATTATGATCAATACCATGATTCCTGTGACTAATCCAAAAATCATCAATCTTTATTTATTTTTGTTACCTTTTGTGATGGTTGCTAGCTACCCTAATAATACCATTAACATTTTAATGATTCATAAATGTGTACGTATGCATCTGTGGATGCTGTAAAACTAGTATACCTGCTTGTATCAGGATGATTAGTCAGCTATTCGTGTTGATTAATAATTGGCAAAGCAAAGGACAATGGTTATGCGAGATTATTCATGGCGCTAATATTTGATTAATTCATTTGCTTGAATTCCGTTTACATGACTATAGTTAGATACTGTTATTCAATATTATTCGACTTTATTGATGTAACAACGTGATTCTGTAAAATATCAATAAAATCAGTTCATTATATGTAATTTGCCTATATGCTTTTTTATCCTGTCACTCGTTTTACTTTTTTGATTAGATTTCTTCGTAGATTTCAGAGTTTTAAGGTCATTGTTCATCACTTACTAATATCAGTAGGAGCCTCATTCACAAACTAGTTATCTGTAAATATTAAGTTTTCGGTTAAATTCCAATACTCACAAATAATCAAATCATTAATACTTTCATTGAAACATGTTATGTACCAATGTTGATCCAGTACATAAACTTTTAAGAAAAAGTTACCAGGTTGATGAGATTTTTGACAGGGTTACTTGGTTGCAAGTTATCTGTCTCACCAACCTTAATCTTGATTGAAATAGAGTCAGGAAAAAACAGGCTACAAAATGATGAGTGTTTCCAAACTATTTATTCAATTGTTCTGTACCTGTTTAATGTTTATCTAATCTTTTTATCATTGCCACTGTATAGATCTGATGTTTTGCTTGAAGATTACCTGCTTGGACTATAATGATCGCTTTCAGATTCTATTATTTTTAAGGACTTACACTTTCCCATTGTTAATATCCACGACCGAAATAACCAGTCTCGATCGGTATATCAGCCTCTTGAACACCTGTTTTAATATTCCATGATTTTTACTAGATCACTATGTCCCTACTTTGTTTTGAGGCAATTGAATTTTGTAGACTGATTATTCACCTATCATATTAACTACTCAGATTTGTCAAGTTATTAACAAGATTCAATGAAGTTCAGGTTGCTGAATAAATTGAGTATTATTATTATATCTACATAATCTTCTCAAACCATCAAATAATATAGACATCATTACCAAGGTTTGACTTGATAATTTTGAATAAACTGAGCATTGGGTAAATTGTCATAAATAAGTAATATATTTGTAATATCCCAATGAATAGCAAAATTGGGTTTTCTGACACTTCGTAACTCAGTGTAAGCCGCTTCTTCAGAGTTTAAATAGTACTATTTAAAGTTGAATCAATTTTGATTTGGTTATTTATTCTGTGAAGAAGCGGCTTACACTGAGTCACCAAACGTCAGAAAATCTAATTTTTTACTCATTGGGATATTGCAAATATATCATTTATTTACATCAAATAATATGTTTATGAAATCTGTCACATTTTTAACAAGATTAATTATCGTGCTTCGATAATCTAATTTCTCACTAACTTAACAGGAAAATATCCACAAACTTTCCCTGAAATTGCAGTTAATCTCAAGAGTCCAAAGAGTATTTTAGTAGTTATTATTTTCTGCTAACATTTACTATGGAAATGCTGCTTGTTTAAAAGTTTTGTTATGGAAAAGAATAGAAAGTACTGTAATGTTTGTTGCATAGATCTGTCTTCTGTAGTTATTATGAAAATAAAATGTCAGGAATGAACAAATGAAATAAAAAAATTGAAACATTGAGAGCGATTCTCCAGGTGATGACTTTATGTATATAGTGTATGTATTAAATGATCGGTTTACGGTATTTCTGGCGGAGTTGTCCTAACATTAAGCTTTCATTTAATTCCTTAACTGTTGATAGATATTTTACCGCTCGTAAATTACAATCAATTGGATATCAACCTGTTTATCAGGATTGCACCGCGAATAAACTTATTTTGTTCAGTCGGAGATTTCTTGAATATGGTGCGTCGCTGTCTTCTGTCTGGTTTGCTTGATCACGCGTCTTTTTAAGTTTCATAAAAGGTGCTTCGGTACATCAGCCTATTTTCCTGATGTCCTGGTTGGTGGTTAGGAAACTGACGCGTAAATGATCGAACGTTTCTGATCCAAATATTGTGTTATCGGTTTCATAGCCAATGTCCATAGAAAGAAAATCCATAACAGCAAAAATGCAATTTGGCTACTAAGCACACGCATTCATGTACCCAGCTTTTGTTTGCACGTTATATATGCGAACTTAGTGATACTATCCATCTATCCAGAATTCAAAAGACGGTGTTTAGTTTTTCAACACTGTCACACAAATTGAAATCACCTTATGATCCATAAATAAATGAAAATAAAGAATTAGTGGAATCTGGTCCAAATCTGTAGTCTAGTGGTTAGTAATTTAGTACAAAACGATCTAGCTATGATTCAACTCATAAGCTTTAGCTTAAAAAAAAACATAAGTTACCTGCAAGTTTGATTGATAACCTCAATCAGTGAATGGAGATATTCGGTAACATGATTCCGAACCGTTCACAATGCCACAACTGCATTCGCTCTCATTCTTTGCCTAAGTTTTGAACTGTAATGTTATTTATCCACTTTTTATCTTTTCAAGATCATTGATACTATTATCCGCTGGACCGTTTTGTTGTTCTTATCAATTTCATTTGTTTTTGCTTATGTGTTGTAACAATCAGGGATTATACACATTTGTATTAGGATGTGTTGGTTATGATTAATTTATTAATCGATTTTTGTAAAGATAATTTACACCATAAGTCGATATTCCTCTTAGGGGTTCATCAATGGTACGCACGACCATAAAATGTATAACTGTTCAGTACTGTGTGGTTTATATTACTTACCTAGTTTATATCGGTTCATGATAATATATTTTCAAATTAAGCAAATTACCGTATAAATCACTACAGCTGTTCCATAGTAAGTTTATTCTTTAAACTATATGGGAGTTTAATTATAGGATCCACCAATCATTATGATTATAGTACATGTGGTAGAAAGTTTACGATTAAAAACTACTACTTAATTGTAGTATTTGACTTCAGTGACTAATACGTTCCGCTGAAATTCTTTCAAGGTAAACTTTAAGAATGTGTCTTAAATTATTAGTGTTTATAATTACAGGTCAATACTAATGCTCTTTTATTTTTACCAATAATTTTTTCAATCCGCATTTTTAACTATGTAGGACCTAATTCCATTGTCTGGACTAAAAAAAACAAAGCCTAACAGAGATACAGAATGAGACAAGTGAATTATTTCAAAGTCTCAACAATAATTCAAATTGCTTATTTTTTTGTATAAACCGCACTTTTTTGCTCACTGTGAATTCCAGTTTTTTAGGCTTTTATTATTGTGGTTTACTGAATAAATTCAATTTTTCATATGTTGTTTTTATTTATGTGTGTAGGCTTTAAATTATACACGATTGAAAGAGATTGATTTTGAAAGAGCACGAAAAGATTATTCTGCTGCTTTGAACCAATTTAATTTATATCGTCAAGACTATTATTTTCGTTGTTTACCATCATGGGCACAAGTTGGCAAAAGTTTAGAAGTTGAAAGATATACGCGTACCCAATCTTTAATCAATATATTATATGAACGATTACGAGTGGCAATTGATCGTATGAACAGTGTATGCGATGAATTCAAATCAGTATGTACAAACCTTAATTCAGATCAAGTAAGTATTCATCCTGACAGGATTTCTTCGATATGGCCATTTTTGTAACAAGTGTTTTGGAATGTATTAATTGTCGCCTTTTGCTTCATATTTCAATACAGTATCCATTAACCTACTGAGTCCAGTAATCCCTTTAAGATAGATTTTTTTCTTTCTTGAAGGTACATTAATCTGACAAGGGTTGAGTGAGATGAATTTCTCTGAATAATCGTACAATATAGTAGTGTTCCTGTATTTTTATTTTCCGAGTGATGAATTGTTATCAGTCGGGAAACTTGAGGTTGGATAGTTGTTTCTCTCAGTTAATTTAAGCTCCACTGTTTGATATCCGGTGATTAATGTCAGTTTCGATTTGAATTCAGGCACCATGATTCTCTGACAGGAGAGTAAAAAAGTAAAGGTGACTGGTAAAAGCAGCACCTATGGCTCATATGCACCTACAAAACCAGTCAGTAAATTAATGGGCGATTGACTTTCAATTGGCTGGACAATCCACTCATTCCTTTTGGCTGCTCACACTTACATATAACTTACAAGCTTGGAAAGTCCCTTGACGGGATAGGCCCTATCTGTCTTATTTGATACACCGCACATCTCCACCTTATCTGCCACCCCATTCAATATTTTAGATATTGAGAGTATGAGATAAGCTAAGGGCTACATTTCTTCGTTTCACAAGTTGATTGGGACTGTAAATTAATGCTCATTTCCGCCTAAAAACTCAAGTGTAACTCCCTAAACCTCCATTCGTTTGGCTTCGAACAGAGCTCTATCTACGAAAGTTTTGGGTATCCTTTTCGTAAGTATCTAATCCATCAACAATAGTTTGGTTTAAAAAGTCTGCAATAATATCCATCTCTGTCACTAAGTTTATCACGTAACACCTGAATTATTCCACTTCACTCATGTAGAATCATAAACATAAAGTCTGACAATCATTAGGTGATAGTTATTATTACACCATGATTAAAAAAATGTTCTAACACTATGAAAGAAACCATTTTCACACAATCATCAGTGTTTTGGGAATAATTGTTAGTTTGAATCATACTTTTTGTTCTTAGTTATGTTTTCTTTTGTAATCATTTGTGACAGCAATTTCCATTCACTCTTGGCAATCAATAAATCTGGTTAAATTAAACTCTGTGACCTAATTAATTTACACTATGAAAAATACCGAAATCTCCACAAAACCCCTTCTGATTACAGATTAATGGTTGTGTGCTTACCAGCTAATACATGTATATATACTCAACCGGTGGATAAGTTATTCTGGCGTGTTAGGAATTATTTCTGAGAGGAAATTATTTCCTTAGCGCACTGAATTTATGAAATTTAAAGCATTACGAAATTATTAGTTTGCTGCATACACCTGCGATCTGACATTGACATAAATTGTCAACCTTCACATATTATTAGCACAGTGATAGTAGAAATTCATTATTGACGCTAATCGTAGAGGAAAACCGAACGTGGAAGATTTGCTTGAAAAAGGAATGAATGGAGTTACAGAATTCATCGTATATGATGTAATACTAAGCTCAAGATTTGTGGGAAGCTAGAAAATAAATATATTTGCACCTCTGCAACCGATTTTAGACCAATATCACATAAGGTCTTTAGGCATAAATTACAATTGTCTAGCGGGCGAACACTAGGAGATTTGGATCTTCTGATATTCAGATCATTCATGATCTGACCCTTTTTTGTCTGGTTAACTTAGTTGTTTTCCGACTCTTTTCTTTTGTAGTTGTCTAACACAAAGTCCAGTTGATGAACGCACACTACGTTCACAACCATAATATTAACAATTTTATATTTTATCTTAACACATAAACATTGGTACAGGGGGGCACCAGAGATATATATAGGGCCTTTAAGATGTTAATAAACGTCTCAGGCACACCCTTCTACAATAGACAATCCCAGAGAACAGTCCTGTCCAACGAATCAAAGGCGGCCCTGATATCAAGAAACACTACGATAGTTGGTCTGTGATAAGTATGACGGAGTTCTAACATTTGGCGGATAGTGAAGATATAATCAATACATCCTCGACCAGAACGTTAACCAGCCTGCTCCTCGCAAGTCAATCTTTCTTGGGTTTTAAGCAACGGAATATGACGGAAACCAATAGTTTGGCCGCAATCGGAAATAGACTTATCCCCCGATAGTTGTTATAAGAACGACGTGAATCCTTTTTAAAGAAAGGGACAACCATCGACTCATTCCATGATATTAGAACACTCTCTAGCTCCTAGACCTTTGTAAAAAAACTCAGCCAATTCCTTAGCCAAAAAGTCACCACCATCTTTAAAAAGAGCCGGAGGTAAGTCATCTGGGTCCGGTGATTTGTAGCGTTTCGAGATTTCGAATTCCTTGCTGACCTCCGCTTCATTTGGTGGAGTAGTCGTCACTGGATGGGACAATCTGATCGATGTTTCCGGAGCAGCAGACCAGTTGAACTGCTCTTCAAAGAATTCTGCCTATCGTCCAAGACGTTGATGGATGTTAGTAATTGGCATCCCGTCATCCTCACAGATTGTTCCACTCACAGCAGACTTGCTGCCAGTGGCTCGGATGAGTTGGAAGAGCTTCCGGCAGTTACCAGCTGCAGCTTCTGCTTCCATCTGATTAGCACACTCCGACCACCAGGCTTCTCGGTCCTTACGCAAGCTTTGCCCGATTTCATTACGTAACAGCCTTTGTTTGTGGTCAAACTCACGGTCACCCGGAGTAGACCGACGGGCTTTAATCAGTTGTAAGGAGCCAGAAGAAACCCAGTGCTTGTAAGCGGGACGTTCCGCGAAGCTGCAATCGGCTTTACTCGCCATTTTCATGGCGTCGTGAAGATGCAACCAATGCTCATCTATACTTTTCGGTGGGATGGTAGCTAGCCTAGTCTAATGAGATGACAATTGCTTCACGAAATTCTATGCTCACTTCGATTAATATTAACGATAATAACAGTATTAGTGATAGTAATAATATTAATATCCTAAAGCTTAGTCATATACTTAATATTTTTTTAATGCAAACTAGGATTCTGAAGAAATGATAAAATACTTACATAGTAATAATCCACCACCTGGGGATATTGCTTTTGTGGATCTATATTCATCTTCAGTGAATAATAGTACTATACAATCGACTGTTAAGCAACCAACATATCCAAAACAACAAAGAACTAATTCAAGTGAACCAATTTATTCATCAGGTAGTGTAGTTCTTCCATCAAATTTTCACTGTTCCGTCTGGGCGGCAGATAATGCAGCGTTGGAATCGAGTAAACAGTGTGGTAGTGACAATAATAATAGTAATAATAATTATGTTTCACCATCTTCCACTTCTGTTGGAGAATCAATCTATGGTGAGTCCGGCTCTATATACTGTGCATCTTATGCTTCAACAACATCAACTAATGGTTCACACAACGGTGGCGTTGGTAGTAACTGTAGCCGTCGTCCAAGTGTTAGTGATAATTATACTGCGTTAAATCTACGCAATTCTTCTATATCAATAAACGGTGCAGGGTTTTTGCGGAGAATATTTTCACGACGTAGTAGGGTAAGATTACTTATCATATATATATATATATAATATTTGTCGTTTTCATCTCAATGTGTAATTTTTACTCACTTTTTCTGCAAGAAACTTTTCACAGTAATCAATAACAGGTATTTTAAGACTATTATTGATAAATACATGCCATATCTCTCCACCCATACAGTTGTCTTGCAGTTCGGAAACAAATTCTGCACGTCTATGATTCAATTAATTAACGTACTATGAATTATCTTATTCGTCCATTGGAAATAATGTTGACCCATCTAGTAAATGTTTCAGGTTTTTTATTTATTATTTAATTTAATGTGATAGATAAGTGTTACATCAATCCGAATTATTTTTTGTATGGATGTATGTGAAATAAAGGTTGTATTCCAGTATTTTCGTAAAGTCATTTGATACTAAGATTTTAAAAGAGTTGATTGTTTTCAATGTTATTCTTTACTTTAAGATTACGCCACTTAATCCTACAACTAAGTTGATCACTTAGCCGGCAAATAATGCGTATCAGATTTTTAAAACATTAGCAAATTAATCTTATATGTAATCCCGTTGTATAACATGTGTAGTTCAAAGTTCGAGTGCATGAATGTGTACTCGATTAGTGAGATCGAGCAACACTTATATTTAGACTTACAACCAAGTTTTACGTTTTTTTTTAGAAAAAATAAACTGATATGTTTACCACAATTTTTTTCTGTATGCGAAGGTTCGGTCGAAAGCACTTGATGACAGTAACCTCTGCAGAGTAAAATTGATGTACATTGCCTGTTAATTCTTTCGAATCCTTTTTAGACATCCACGTTGTGTCCACTATGCATTAGATGTTTATTAATCGCACTTGTGAAAACTTTACTTTCTTTTAGACACAACATACAGGAAATATGTTCAGAAAAGTATAAATGTCTTTCTCTCAATCCTTCCTATATTCTTGCTTCTAAAATTACATGTAAATTCGTAGATACATTTAGAGGTGACTTCAGAACGGCATTAATTCACTTTTGATTGATTTAAAGAAAATCTGGTGCCATACTCTGAAAATAGTTTGGCTCCAGGGAAGCTTATCTTTAGCGCTGTCTTGACCCTTTTATCGATCCTGTTTGAAACCTTACCTTTGAAGCCAAGATGAATAAAGGGAAGTTTTCTGTTAATGATTGTTTGTTTGGGGATTCGCGTTATCGTTTTTCCGTACTTCATAAATTTCTTTAGATATACGTTTTTAAGGCACTCTTACTATGCTATTTCTTAATGTATATTGTTTGTTGAACACAACATTCGAGTCCTACTAAATAGGGTTTTGACTAAATATTGACAACTAACAGGACAAAAACTATTGTAATTTAAGTACTGATTATCACATTCATATTTCTTCGTGAATTTGATGTTAACTTGTGCTTTATTTTTCTTGACTAACGTTTACATCATTCTGTTCACTTTTAGTAATTTTTTATTCTTCAATATATAAATCTTTTCCCTAAAAATACACTTGACTTAGGGTATTGTTTTTCAAAGTGAAATATTCTGTTTTTGTCCAGGCGTAATTACACTGGTGAAATATAGTTTCACAAAGTCTCCTCTTTTTTAATCATTTAGCTGATAAATGACACCTTTATGTTATTATACCTCAATGTGTTGAGGTTTCATATTTGAAGATCAGTGCAGTCAGACTCTGACGAAAATCCATAACTGCTTGAACTCCCTTTCAAGTCTGGGAGTTTTACCAAAGATTTTTTTCTATTTTATTTTAACTCATTGTTTTCATTTAACTTCCTTTTGTCTTTTCATCTAAATTGAAAATATCTTATTGATTATCCCACTTGTAATAATAACATCATCCATCTCTTTTTGTTGAGCACTGATGAAATCAATCAGCCCTCATAATAAAATAATCATGTACATCTATATCAAAAAATTCCACCGTTGAACTATGCTTATTTTTACATCATTCAATTCATTTTTATTAGATTTACCATGTATTTGTGACTGAATGACAGTTGTCCGTTCCAGCTTTTCAGAAGTTATTTATTCAATTCTCACAAATTTCAACTGAGCAAGTGGACTCCATTGTATTTAATGCAATATATTTTATGGGTCTAGGTCCTACCTCATGTGGAGGGATAGGGTGGATGCAAACTAGAGCAAAAAACCCTTTTTAATTTCACTATTACTGTACGTGGTGTTTGTCATACATGGGAATTGTTTCAAACATTCATTAATCTCCGTAATGAAATACATCACTTGTTCATTTGACATAGAATACATATCATAAATCAATCTGTATATTGGTAATGGTTTAAATTGTGCATATGTTTATCTCGATATGGCATCGGATGCAAGATTGGATATGTCATCTTCCTTTTGTTCTGCTGTAGTGTTTATTTCTATGTCAAGCCCGAATGGGTTGTTCTAGTTTCCAGACAGGCCGACTTACTCATTGTTCTTGAGCCACACTATAACCATGCCAGTTACTTGCTTGTTAACCTTGAATTTTTATATGAAGACACGTTTGTGCATTGCTTATCCTACTCATTACATATCTGTTGCTTATTTTTGTCTGACTATAAAATATCCAATCACTCCTGGTCAGATCGAGTTAGTACATATGTCTTCTGCACTTTGCTTTGTTTTCCCGCTTCTCGCTCTAAATGTTTGTCTGAATAAACGGGTGCTTGTAATAAATTTATCCAACGCGATCCGTATTTATCTTCTTATTATCACCGTTACGCGAACGGGGTTAGCTTAGGTAATATACGGGGTTAAACGGGAGATTTATGTTTACATGTATATATAGTAATTGAATTTTATTATTTTGCAAGGTGTAGGTATGATCATGTCATTTCAACGCTCAGTGAAAGCATAATATCTAGCATCTTTTAACATCTCGTTCGTTTAGTGAGTGTCATACAAGAGTATAATTTTCACTGGAGATTTCGTTTCCTGTTATTAGGAACTATTCACATTTATCTTCCATGAACACGCCACTGTAGCGTATCCCAAATTAGCAGATGGAAAAGGTAAATGAAATGAAAGTTGAGGCTCGAATGAGATTCTCAGTGTAAATTAATCTCTTATATGTAACACTCATCCTTTAAATGAACGGAAAAATACTCAAAGCTCCTCAACACCCCTATACAGGTTGAAGATTGGAAAATGAATGCTCTACAAATCCACGTACATATATCCTATCCTATAAAAAGACTGTTGTAAATTATTTATTATTTATTTATTTAAACACATATATATTGGTACAAAAGGGCACCAGGTACATATGCGCCACACAAAATAATGAAAGTAGGAAGAGAAGGGATGAAAAGATAAGGCGGGCTGAAATGTACAACCAGAAGACTCTTTCAGTTAGGAAAGTTAGAACCATTCTTTATGTAGAAAGTAAAAGAAGGTTGCAGCAGGATCGCCACTGGCTTCTATTCTGAGCCATATCTGATAACGTCTCTAGCCACTGTGTTGCACTATCTCTCGGACCCCAACCAGGGAGTCGTGAAGGACCAACGGAAGCTAGCCCTTTACAGCTCTCTTTCATGCCACGACACCATGTCATACACTGACCTCCTCTCGTTGTCATACACTGTCATACACAAATAAATGAAATGATGAACTCTATTGACGTTGTAAATTAAAAAAAACACAGTTGGTTTTTGTTTTCGTTGATTGGTGAACACGTCAAAAATAGGACGCTCTGAATAACAGTTTCATTTTAGTTATTAGCTTTTTGAGTAATGCATACTTCAATCTCACTAAAAAAAGCAAAATATCTGCGTCTTCAACTCTCATGATGACAAGGGATTCTGAAAAATCCTAAATTAAGACAAACCATTGTCCAATACTGCTTAATTTCCATTGTGTCTTTCTATATGATATCAACCTAATACAAACGACCTCCTCAAAGGGAAATAATTTCGATAAAGTACATACCAAGCAGTAGGTTATTCGAGTTTATAGTGTTCTAAATAATTCATTCTTTTAATGGAAATCACCAGCTAAGTACAGAACCTTTTTAATGATTCTATCATGTGGTTCAAAGTGAAATAGATATGACGGATTTCTAACCTTATTGCCGACCAGACGTTGCGGCCATCAAAGTGTGATTACATTTCGTCGTTAAAATCATTATATGCTCTAAAGCATGGACTAGAACATTTGGATTTCAAGTGCTGGGCTGTGAATTCAAAACCTTGCTCGACTTCCTTCGATTTGTCACATAAACAGTGTAGCTCAAAGTCTAATATGTAAACTCATACTTAGTAAATGATATGATCACATAACAATTTTTCACAGAATATTTTACTGATAATTCCTCGTAGTTGTATTGAAAGATTGGTTTTCCAAGTCCTTGAAAAAGTACATAAATACTTTTATAATTTACTACATAATATAATTACTTATACTTCCTTTCTGCGTGATTTTTCTTTGTCTAAACTGTCTGTTCTTTATTGATTGGCATTAAATAATGAACTAATTTTCTATTTCACATAGTGATATTGATTAAATTGTCTCATATTTCATCCTGTGGTTCACTCTTTTGTTGTTGTTTTTCTTGTCCTTTCACCCCCCGTCTCTCTCAGTATTTAACAGCGTTTTTTTTATTCTAAATGTTCAATGATCCTATAAATAAACTTCGACTTAATTTACTTGGTATTTGTATATTGTGAAGAATTTTTGGTTTATGATTTATGATCTGTTAATTTTGACCCTGAAAGTAAGTTTGAAAATATGCGGATAGAGGAGGGAAAGAATAAAAACAAATACAATGAAAGTCTTTTACATCTTCATATTTATTGTCCTGTTTGATAATATCGATATCATTGTTGTAATTGTATCATTAATGCTATTGGTATTGTTTTTTTAGTTGTTTGTTATAAATGAATGCATTTATATGTACACATTCAAAGTTGTCATTAATTAAACAACTCACTAGTTTGAGAGTTGAACTCCTCTCCGTGAAAACGGAAGGTCCTGGGTTCGATCTCTGATTGGTTTGTATG